AAAAATTGTGGAAGGAGCCAAAAATACGCACGCAAACACATGCACTTCTTTATGCACGTACACTGCACAGGGAGAGAGTAAGTGTAGTAATAACAGTAGTTTCCGGTTTCTGCCCGCGAGACGGCGAGGATTCCGTTTCTTCTCGGCAAAAGGCATTCTGTTATTTCAATCCTCTTCTTTTTTTGTTTTTGTTGTTGTTGCTCTCTTCGATTCTTATTCTCATTTTTACTGAATCGTTAATCTTTCCAAAACTTTAACTTACTAGAACTAGTTAACTTTGTATTGTAAATGTGCATAAAATCTTATGAAAATCATGACTCAATGTAATGATTATATTTAATTACTTGCTATCAATAAGTCATAAAATCTTAAGTTTCAATTATTAGAATTTGCTTCTTCATTTAATTACTCGCAGATAATAAACAAACAATATTCTGTTAATTCGCTTATATTCACTTTTTACTACATTATTGAATATTTTATGCGTCTCAAAAGAAGATTAGAGTCATTTTTCAGTCATCATGTTGATACGAATCAAACTGATTGATTGATAATTAGTTGATATCAAAAAGTGATAAAATATTAAGCTTTCATGATTAGAATGTACAATTATATTAAATTCATAATAGTTATTATGTGATTTTTCAATTAACATGATTTACTGAAAGTGAAAACGGTTTTATTATCTTATTATCATTATTTACTCAATTCTTGTATGTCTCAAAAACGGCGCTTAAAACCTTTGATAGTGATAATCGTGTCATAATGACGTGACACAATAATCAAAACTAATCTTATATTTTGTTACGTTTTTTTTGTGTATTATCGAAATTGATGTAATTGAAAGAATAATTTGTACTTTACTTTAAATGTTACTATTTTACTTGAAACTTTATTGAAATTATTCCAGTCAATTAAAGATTATAGTAATGTTTAGTCTATTAAATGATTATGATTGAGCACTTTTAGAATCTGTGTGTGTGTTCCTCTGGTGATAATTTAATTGTATTTTATTTGGACAATGATATCTTTAATTATTGTGGTAATAATATTTGAACTGTTTGGGATTAATGTCGTGGACACAATTGGATTTTTTTTTGTTGTAATTGGAATAATATGTATTGAGGGTTGTCTTCTTGTCGATTTGCAGAGACTGCCCTCTGGTAACGTCTTACGTGTGATGATGTATTTTTATTTGTTTTGGTTATAGAGTTGTTGTTGTTGTTGTTGGTGTTGATGATGATGTTGGAGAAGAGGTTGGAGAGGCGAATGGAATGCGCGCGGTTTTTCCGCTTTTATCTCTTTTGACATATACGCACAGGAGGATGGCGGCGGCGGCGGAGGCGAAGATGAGGGGAAGATTATCATCTCTGCAGAGCGCAGCACTTCTTCTGCACTCCGCCGCGTCCCGTCAAGATTCCGTTCGCGGCAGCGTCCGACGCGCGCGTTTTTCCTGCCGACATCCGTTCGCTTCGGACACCCTCCTGTCCTTTCGACCCCGTTTCGCCATCACCAGCAGCAGCACCATCATCATCTGGAGAAAAAAAAGACATTGCAAAACATCGTCATCGTTTCTTCATCATCATAATCATCGTCGTAGTCGTCTTCGTCGTGATCGTGATCATCGTCGGACTGTCAGCCGCTTTCGGGTGCGTGCGGCACGTGATCCTCTCCTTTTGGTAAAATAAGCGTGGCCGAAGGAAAGAAGGAGCCGTGGAAGTGCGAGAGGTCAGCGAACCAAAGATAAAAGATGGAGGTTATTAAATTACGCCGCGGATGATGTTGTTGTTGTTGTTGTTGTCGTCCATCGGCGGAGATGATGATGATGGTGTACAGTTACTTCGGCCCGGCCAGGAGGAATGCATTTGGTGGAAGAAACACGGAAGAGGAGACGGTGCGCCGCGCTGACGACGATTTCCGCAGCCGAAGAAGTGGTAGTAGTAGTAGTAGTAGTAATAGCACCAATAACATTTATAGTAGTAGTAGTACAAGCAGCAGCAGCATCAGCAGCAGAAGCAACAGCTGCAGCAACGGCAATAGAGGAAGTGGAAGTAGTCGAGGAAGACGTAGTAGTAGACGAAGAAGAAGTAGTAGAAGAGAAGAAGAAGTAGAAGCGGGGCATCCGCCCACTACTCGCACGCCGCGCCATCCAATCAGCGTCGACCGCTCGCATTGAAACTATATTGGAAAAAAAATATTTTCGCGGCTTATTAACTGCTGGCACGCACTCACATACCGCACACCAATAATCCGACCTCCTCCTGCCAAGACGTCTCCTCTTCTCCACACACTTCTTCACTTCGACACCGACACTACGACCACCAACAACAACAACAACAAGAAGAAGACGAAAACAATCCATCAATTGCATCAAAGTGATTCCGAGAATCGAATTTGGAACTTGTAAAATCCCGGTGCAACTACAACTACAACTACCATCATCATCAACGTGAAGCAGGAAGCGCACACTCTCAACACCTGAAGACATCCAACAACAAAACGCACATTAGGAAAGAGAGAAAGAGACACGCACAGAAACAAACAAACATACACCGTAAGTCCATTCAATGCACTTTGCTTGTGACCAAGATACAATTACAAAACTTGACCCAAATCAAAATTAAAGCTTACAAACTGGAAAAAAAAGAGTAACAAATAAAAAATAATAATAATAGGAAGAAGGCAAATCGAAGGAAGAAATCGATGCGTATTTATAAATAAATGGGAACCTTGAGGCGCGCTCCTCCTTCAACAAGAGATAGAATATGTGCATGTGCATGTGTGTATTTATGTAACGACAATGCTGATTTGGGTTATCTGGTGATAACAATTCAATGTGATTTTTATTCTCGCTTCTTTTTTTTTATATATAAATATGTATATTTTGAACGCGAACGTTTTGCAAATCTATGTGTATTTTCTTTTTGCAGGTGATGTATCTGTTCGACGAGTTCCTGCAGCCTTTCGAGGTGAGCCTTCTGGTCGTGATGATTTCGTATTACCTCTTCGGCCAGAGGAGTTCGTGGAAGGCGCGTCTCTCGTCGACGATGCTCAGACACAGCAGTGAAGTGCCCGGTCCTCTGGCTCTGCCCGTCTTCGGTTCTTGTTGGGTTTACACGGCTGTCGGCGGTTACAGCTTCACCAGGGTGCACGAGTTCTACAGGGACATGTTCCTGCAGCACGGACCCATCGTCAAAGAGGAGGCCCTGTGGAATGTGCCGGTGATTAGCGTGGTGGAACGATCGGATATCGAGAAGGTGTTTCGGAGCTCCGGAAGGTATCCCATTCGTCCGCCCACAGAAGCGATCGCCCATTACCGCAGAAGCAGACCGGATAGATACGCCAGTACCGGAATGGTCAATGAACAAGGTAAGAGATTTGGAAATTATGCAAATATTCAGTATATTAATTGGATTTGTTTCAATTGAAAAGGTGCAAGCTGGTATCATCTGCGCTCGAACCTCACCAGCCATTTAACGAGCACCAAGACCATCGCATCGTTCTTGCCGCAAGTCGAGGAAATCTGCGGCGATTGGTGCAGCCTTCTCGATCAACTCAAGGACCCCAAAGACCTCATCAGTAACGTTGAAGTGCTGGCCAGTCGGTTAGGTCTTGAAGCTATCTGTTCGCTGGTTCTTGGAAGGAGGATGGGTTTCCTCTACGAAGAAGCCGATTCTAAACTCACGTATCGCCTGGCGCACGCCGTCAGCAATCATTTCGGCGCCTGCAGAGACACATACTACGGTCTCCCGCTGTGGAAGCTGTTCCCAACACCGGCCTACAAGAAACTGGTGGAAAGCGAGGAGGAGATTTACAATTTGGTGTTGGAGATTATCGAATCCGCGGATGAGGCTTCGATGGAAAGTGCTGTGTTTCAATCGGTGCTCAAGGCGGACGTTGACTCGCGCGAAAAGACCGCTGCCATCGTTGATTTCATCGCGGCCGGCATTTACACGATGCGCAACAGTATGGTGTTTCTTTTGAATACGGTGGCCAACGATCCGAAGATCCAAGAAGCCATCCTTCAGGACCCGACCGGAGCCTATGCCAAGGCCTGCGTGAACGAGACCTTCCGATTACTGCCGACCGCAAATTGCTTGGCGCGCGTCATCGAGAACGACCTGGAGCTCTCCAACTATAGGATTCCCAAGCATTCGGTGGTTCTGTGTCACACGGGATTAGCATGCAGGGACGACAGGAATTTCCCGCAAGCGGAGAAGTTCATACCGGAGAGGTGGTTGGACGATGCGAAGCAGGAAACAACTTCGGTGGGCACCTACCTCGTGGTTCCCTTCGGTATCGGGCGTCGAACGTGTCCCGGTAAACGGTTCATCGAGCAGATCCTGCCGATCGCTCTTCAGCACACCGTGCGGAACTTCAAGATGGCCAACGTGAATCCCCTGGAAGTACAATTTGAGTTCCTGCTGGCGCCAAAGGGACCCATCAACATGGTCTTCGAAAAACGGTTTTGAAGATACAAACAAAAATATTATTCAATATAAAAGGCTGTGTTTTGCATTACATATCTATATATATAGTATATATAATTTCTGACTGAACTGAAAAAGTGTTATATTTGTTAAGTTTTGTTCCATTAAATAAAAGAGTTATTAGTTGATAATAAATAGATTTTATTTTTATTGTAATTTTTGTTTATTTTCTTTATTTGTACAATGTTTTCAGGGAGTCGTAGAAACGCTCTCGGGCAGTTGTCTGGTTTGCATATCGTCGTAGGCTATGGTGAAGACGCTCTTCTTCTGCGCCATCGTCGGTCTCGTTAGAGCGATTCCGGAGTCACCGTCTTCGTTGGGCAGACCCACCACTTCGAATCTGTTCTTCGAGTGCTGGATTAAGGGATGCTCAGGGCCATTTCCTATAGGCAACTCGACGTTCCTCTGAGCAGGTTGCGTTGCCGATAGCTGTCGCTTCGAAACCTTCGTCGCGGAAGTCTCCAGGCTTCCGCCCTCCACCTTCGCCCTCCTCGGCTTCTTGCTGTACCATTCCATGTACCTGGAGGAACCTCTCTTCGATTGCTTCTGCTTGGACGTGAGGTCGTTGTGGCTGCTCGAAGATTTCAGCTGAGACGCGATCTCCTTCCGCTGCAAACCAGTCTCGGAGTTTCTGCGCGGCGTCTCCTCCTCCACGCTGTCCGTGTACGGTTCCAAAGAATCGGAAATCTCCTGCAACACCTCTTTGCGCAGCGACCTCGAGGATTTCGTGCGACTCGACGAGTTCGACTTGAGCTGCTGTCTCATTAAACTGGTCTTCGTTTGGGCAACGATCTGCTCCGTCTCCGATTCCTCCTGAATGGGAGTGCGTATCTTCCGTTTAACATTCAACTTCTTCCGACGCCTGGACTTTTGGTACTTTTCCTCTTCCTCGCTTCCGTCGCTGGCATCGTTGTCGGAGCGCGTTTGCCTCCTGGGTGGTCTCAGATAGAGCGGTTCCGTTTGCGTGCTCACATTCTGATCGGTCTGCGTTCCGGCAGGAAGCGATTGCGTTTCCAAACGCAAATCCTTTTCCCTTTCCGATAGGATTTGTCTGAGAAGAGCGTTTTGCTGACGAAGGCTGGCTTCTAAAAGCTCGTGCTCGCTCTGAATTCGATTCAACGTGTTTTGCTGGTACGCCGATGCTCTGGCCTCGGTTTGCTGCTGATCGATAAACCTCTTCATCAAAATATCCTTTCCGCTGTCGATCACGTAAGCTTCCGGTATTAACGTGACCGGACGCTGCTGCTGCTGCTGCTGTTGATCTCCACCTCTAGTGATCAGCCTCAAGATATCAGCGTTGCCTTCGCGTATATACAATTGATCCCTTCCGACCTCCTGGTTCTTGTAAGACATCTTTCGAACCTCACCGCGCTCGGAACCTCGCTCCAACTCGTGCCTCTTGATCGAATCAACCTCAACTTCTATGAGATTATGCTCAGGTGTCCATGCCTCTCTACGTCCGTACCATTCGGCAACTTGAACCGACTTGTTCTCTTGATCCTTGATCACCAACTTCTCCACATCCGGCGTCACTTTTCGCCTCCTCTTTGGGGCTACGTACAGAGGACAACCCTCGATAATGCAGCACAGGATCAGAATCAGTGCAATCAAGATGAGCAACAGCAGCAACGTTAACAGAAGCCACCACAGATTTGGGTTACCAGCTTTGACAACTACCTCCTTGCTCTCCCTATCCTTCGTCTCTTTGGTGTCCAAAATTCGTCGGATGTGCTCCAAATCCACCACAGAATTGCTCGCAAAGTTGACAGTCGTCTCAACGATGCTCCTGCAATTAATCTCACATAAACAATAATTAAGTAGATGACCTTGGTTGGAGTTTAGAGCAGGCTATTGACCGATTCGGGCCACGCGCGCGCTTTATTCCAACCGATCGCATCATGCAAAAATTAGTTACCACAAATACATTAATTTTTCATCAAATAACAATCAAGGAACTCGAATCAAACAAATTTAAATTATTCGAATTAATTAAATAAATAATTAGTTTAAATTTATACTGCCAATATAATCCAACATTTTCATCTGAATGTTAATGAATCGTTAATGATATTTTAATGTATCGTTAAAAAAACAAAGTATTTATGAGACTTAAGATTAATAAAATTAATTTTATGTGAAACTATTTTTTTGTTTACCTTTCGCCTCCACTTTCGCTGACATCGAGTACTCCTTGCTGATTGTACCCATCGTAATCCCTGATGGAATCAACTTTGACGTCCGCTCCGACGATGCCGCTCAAGTACTGCTCGACGTCCGCTTTATTCCTGTTCCTTCCGGAAACGATGAAAACCATCTTCCTGTTTCCATCGGGCGGATAGATGCGGATCTCGCATTCGTTCCAAAGCGTGGGAACACCACCATCGTAAGCGCGTATCTTGAAGACGCCCACTTCTTTTCCGTTCCAAACGCCTTGGACCCTCAGCTCGCCGTTGACCTCATCCAGCGTTAAATTCTCGTGGACACCGATGATTTCGTACTTGACGTCATTGTTGGGCGCGCTCACGTCTTTGTCGAGGGCCTTCACGAACGCCGGAAACGTGAAGCTCCTTCGATCCTGATTCAGGATGAACTCGTAGAAGGGTTTCTCGAAAATCGGAGATTGATCGTTCACGTCCAAAACGTTGATGGCCACAGTCGCATTGGCTTTATTACCTGAATTATCTTCGGCTTGAACTTGGAAAGCGTATGCGGCTATGCTCTCCGAATCCAAGGGTTGCGTAACAGTTATCACGCCGGTCGTCGGGTTTATGTTGAAGTGATCGCTTCCGGTTCCCAATAGTCTGAAGCGGATGTCGTTACCGTCGACGTCGCTCGCCGTCACCTTCAGCACGCTGCTTCCGGGTTGTGTGTTTTCCGGGATATCAGCGGCGAATTCGCTCCTCGGGAACTTCGGGGCGTTATCGTTGGTATCCGTTAATCTGACTGTTAAAGTCGCCGAGGCCGTGTGGTTTCCCTCCGTCAACTCTTTGGCGAGTATCTCGCAAACGACGGATCTCCTCCGCTCGAAGTCCAACAGAGAATTGTCGCTGACCTTGACCATAAACTTGGAGCGGCCTTCGATGACGTTCGGGGAAACGGCGAAGGTCCCATTGTTGTTCAGCAGAGTCAGACTGAACAGCACGCCCGGCTGAGCTATGAACTCGGCTTTGGGGATGGTCAGGATGGTGCCGGGCGGTGAATTCTCCTCCAGATCGACGGTGAAATTGGTCGAAGAGAACCGGGGATTCGACGCCGTCGGCTGCGGAGCGATCAAAGCCAGACGGACTGTGGTGGATTGGGCGGCCGGTTCGGTCGGTGAGGATCTCACCTCTTCGGCGACGACGGTCAGGATGATCGGGACGTTCGAATGCGATATCGCCTGGATCTCGTTCAGAGGTTTAGCCAATCTCAGTTCGCCTAAGATCACCAAAAAGAAAAACGAAAAGAAGAGAAGAGAAATTAGTTTCACTTTCGCAAGAAATTCGCGTGCGTGGAATTGGAACGCGACCGGAAATCCAGATGGCTTATCTGCGACTGGACACGAACTCCAGGCTAAAGGGAACGGCGCTCCACGCCACCATCATCGATCCGCACACTCTTTTTTCTTTTCAAGCAACAACAAACAAAACAAAAAGATTCCGTTCGTTAAACCTACCCGAATTGTATAATCCCCAAGAAACTCATTTAGGAATCGAATAATAACTGAAATTCTTAAATCTTCATCAATTCACGCACTTCCCGCTGAAAGGTTGTGATATATTTTTTTATTATATAAGCCTTTATGGAAAGTTCCTTTTTTTTGTAAATTAAAGTCAAATTTATCAAGAAATTACAGTTTAGTTAAAAGTGTAGAAGTGTTCGCAGAAAATCATTAAAAAAGTTATTAAATTGAATTTTGTAGAAAATTTGTCACGAAATAAATGGAACGTTAAAATTTATATAAACTTTTCAAATTAAAGCTAAATTTATCAAGAAATTACAGTTTAGTCTAGAGTGTAAAAGTCTACGAAGAAAAATATAAAATTGAATGTTTTACAAAAAAAAAGAAGTATTTTCTTAATAGTTTTGCAATTTCCACAGAAAATCATTAAAAAAAGCTATCAAATTGAATTTTTTTAGAAAATTTGTCGCGAAATAAATGGAACGTTAAAATTGTTGTTAAAATTTATATAATTTTTTCAAATTAAATCCAAATTTATCAAGAAATTTCAGTTTAGTCTAGAGTGTAAAAGTGTACGAAGAAAAACTTAAAATTCAATGTTTTACAAAAAAAAAAGAAGTATTTTCTTAATAGTTTTGCAATTTCCTTCAAGAAGTATTCAAGAATGCAACCAATTTGCGAATTCGAAGAAAATCTCGCTGATTTCTGCTTCGATCAGTGCGAATTCACTTTTTCTATATAGCACACTTCAATGTTAAAATTTTTGTTAAAACGTTGTTAATCGAAATTTTTAGATTTTTTTTTGTAAATTGAAGTTAAATTTATTAAAAAATTATAGTTTAGTCGAAATTGTAGAAGGATTTACAGAAAATCATTAAAAAAACCTATCAAATTGAATTCTTTAGAAACACAAAAGTTAAAATTGTTGTTAAAATTGATATAAATATAATAAGATATGCTGGTAAATTTTATAAATTAAAATTTATCAAGAAATTACAGTTTAGTCTAGAAATGTGGTAAATGGAAAAAAGCTAGCTATCAAATGAATTTTTTTAGAAAATTTGTCACAAAATAAATGAAAATTGTTGTTAAAATTTATACAAATTTTTGAAATTAAAGCCAAATTTATCAAAAATTACATTAGTTTAGAGTGTAAAAGTCTACAAAGAAAAACATAAAATTGAATGTATTACAAAAAAAAAGAAATATTTTCTTAATAGTTTTGCAATTTCCTTCAAGAAGTATTCAAGAATGCAACGAATTTGCGAATTAGAAGAAAATCTCGCTAATTTCTGCTTCGATCAGTGCGGATTCACTTTTTCTATATAGAAATGATCGTTTTGATTTTCCTTTTGCTTGGATAATCGCCAAGAAGACTCATTTAGGAAACGCATAAAAAACGAAAGTATTCGCCGAATTCTAAATTCTATCTCGCGCACTTCCCGCTCAAAGGTGTGATATATTTATATAAATATATAGATAGATTTTTTTTCATTACTTAATTAGTAGCCTCAAGGTAAAGCAGATTTTTAATGGCATTCGATTCCTCGCCTACTTCCACTTCCAATCTGCAATTTTCTATCTCTCTCTTACTCATACACACACACAAACAAATTATTCAAATTCCAAATAGAAAAGACAAAACTTCGCAGCAGAAAGATACAAAGTTGATGGCAGCTATCATCATCAGATTTATCAATCATAACCAGTCGCAGCAGTGATTTCTTTGCCTTTTTTGTGTGTGTGTTGTTCATATCAAATTGCTTTGGTCTTTCGCAGCCTCCGCTCGAATGCTTAACATGTGTTTATAAAGTAACCTTTCTCTCTTTCTGTTTAAGTCATTTTTCTTTTCTTTTTTTATTCTTCGATGTTATTTTTCCTTCCTCGTCTCTTATTAATAAATCTATCGCGCGAGTTGCTTGAACTCTCGGACTTAAATAATTGATGCAGCGAGAGAAACGTAAATTAGCCCATCAATAAATTAAGCAGGCCGAGGGATCCGATGAAACAAAACAAAAAATGCGTGCGGACGAGGACGATGGGAAGAGATGCTGATGATGATGACGACGATCGTGGAGGATAAGGAGGAGGAGGAGGAGAAACGAGACGGTCGGCATGGAAATGAGATAAAATAAGATAATTAAAATAAACGAACGCGTGTGTGTATATGTATGTATATATATATGCATGTGCGTACATTTTATTTGCGTTTGAGTGCGTCTTGGATGTTTGTGAGTATGTCCAGAAGAGTAAGATTGTAAACCAAGAGAGAAAGAGAGAAAAGAGCTTCAAACTAAAATTAACATAATTGCGCCCCAGGGCCGTTGTTATTCGGAGATCTCTCTGTTTGAACGTCGTATACATACACAGGGTGTTCCAAATAATCAAACACCGAAAATGCAATTGCATTCATGTATTACAATCATCAAACTTCTCATTATCATTATCACAAACCAAATATATCTTCTAATTGATATTTACAAAAGAAAAGCAGATAAAGTGTTTAAAAATAACGTTTCATGTTAATATTAGTTAAGATTACAAATGAATTTAGTTCAAATGAGCTAGAGCTAAGAATTGGGACGTATGAATGGAAAGAGAAATAATTGTAAATGGTTTGTAACTAAGTTACGCTTCACTATTTGTGACAACAACAGATTATATAGTTTTATTGATTAGTCGTCAAGGAAACGAATTTAAACAAAACGCAACAAATTCGATGAATATTTGTGTAAATGCAAGATGCAAATATTTTTACGTAATTATAATTACTTGTATGTAAGAGAAAAAAATCTGTAGATTTAAAAACAATACTTAATATAAATTTAAGGTAAAGAAACATTATTATTTGAATTCTAATCGAAATTGTTAATAAGATTCAAATTACTTTTATAAATATTATAAAAAAAATATCTAAATTTTAACACTTAATAAATGAAAAAAAAACTGTAGATTTTATTGGTTTAGCAAAAACAATACTTAATATAAATTTAAGACAAAGAAACACTGACAAAAAAAATTTGAATGTTTGAAATTTGCATTAATTGCATAGTTATTCGCTTCTAGAAATTTTAAGTAAAAAATTTAACATATCAATAAATCTACCATCAAATTCAATGTTAAATAATCGATGTCTCTTATTTCAATAAGATAAAACTTATTAATTGTATTTAACAATTATTATGTTATTACATTGTTTTATTAAAAAATCAAAAGTTAAATTGGTTGTTAAAATTTACTAAATTTTGAAAATTAAAGTCAAATTTATTAAGAAATTACAGTTTAGTCGAAAGTGCACAAGTGTTCGAAGAAAACCATTGAAAATAGGCATCAAATTGAACTTTATTAGAAAATTTGTCAAGTAATAAATCAAAAGTTAAATTGGTTGTTAAAATTTA